TGGCCCGAGGAAGCCCCCAGAGGCCCCCAGAACACGCCCAGGAGGCCTCCAGAAGGCCTTCAGAAAACTTGAAAAACTGTTGTGAGGCCCTCAAAGGCTCTCCAAGGAGGAGCCTCCACAAAAAGAGCTGAGGATAATGGGGGGAATGCACAGGGGTTGGCGAGAATTAAGAAAAAGAAGCATGGAGGAAGGATGGCGAATATAACATGATTATAACCTGGGAAAGGCAACAAGGAGTTATCGCTAAATTGTCGGCTCGAAGCGCCACTGCATGGACCAAGCACCAAGGCGCATGGCGCGAAGCGCCATTGCGGTCTTGCGTTCATATACTTATGTAGGCCCGGGGACGCCAAAAAAAGATCCCCCCCCTGACGAATTTGGCCTTCCCCGGGCCTCGAGGCAACCCTTCAGACGACCTGGGAGAACCCCACGAGAGTCCGAAGACGGCCCCAGACGGGTTCCAGGCGTTCCGGCGCGCTCCCGAAACGACCCCAGAGAGCCCCAATACGGTCCACGACGACCCCCTAGAAGCCGTCATACCCCCAAAACGATCGCTCCTAAACGTCCCAAGAGGCCTCCAAAGGCACTCCCAAGAAGGCCCCAGGAGGCACAAATCATTGATTTTGTGTCGGCTTTTGATGAATTTGGGGGTTCTCCTCTTTCGGGCTCCCCGACGCTCCAAGACGGCGGTCTTCTGGGCGTCCGAAGCCGCCTGGGAGGCTCCCAAATCGCCCCACAACCATCCGAAAGGGCATCCAGGCATTCCAAGAGAGCCCCAGAACGGCACAACATGGGTCCAAGATGGCCTTAAGAGAGCCCCATGGCGGCCCAAGATGGCCCCAAGACATCATCCGAAGCATTCCAAATCGTGACCCGGTCGTTCAGGGAGACCGCGGTTGGAGGCAGAGTGGCACTATTACTATAACATTATAATATCCGTATTATAACGGCGATGTCGGAAAAAACAACAAGGAGTTATTGCTAAATTGTCGGCTTGACCTTCATGCCATTCCGCCTGCATACCAAATTTCAAGGACCAAGGTGCATGGCGCGAAGCGCCACTGCAGTCTTGTGTACGTATATGTATATATATGTATATATGAATATTGTTTATGTATTTATTTGTTTATATATCGAAGACGCCTGCGGCGAATAACCGACGCCCCCTGCCTTTTTGAACGCGTCTCTGTGGCCAAACGTTTGGGTCCAGAGCTTCGATCAGTTATCGGATCAGGTGTTCCCCGAGCCCCTGTGGAAACCTTTCGCGGAACACTTGGAGGAGCATGAGGCGTAGCATCAGGAGAGGGAGGAGGATCAGGAAGGAGGAGGAGGAGGAGGAGGAGGAGGAGGAGGAGGAGGGGGAGGAGGAGGAGGAGGAGTTGTGGCCGAGCTTTGCGGCAAGAGCTCTGCCAAGCTATCGGACCATGTGTTCCCCCAGCCGTTGTGGAAACCCTTCGGGGAGCACTTGGGGGAGGATGGCGGGGAAGATCAGGAGGAGGAGGAGGAGGGGACGTCTTGGGAACCTCTGAGGACACTCTTGGGGCATCATGGGAGCTTCCTGGGAGCCTCTTGGAGGCATCTTGGGGGCCTCCTTGGGCCTCTTGGGGGCCTTTGAAGGCTTCTCGGGGACCTCCTTGGCCTTCTTAGGGCATTCCTGGCCCGTCTGACGCCGTCGGATGCCGCCTTGGGGTTCTGAGCAGGTTCGGGAGAGTTTCCGCAGGAGCGTTCTTAGCAGAACGACGCTATATACAAGGAAGGGGAAAACGGGGGCAAGAGGAGAAAAGGGGGGAGTAGCAAGATAATGATGAGGTCAAACGAAGCTGCGCTTTCACGTGTGATATCGGACTTGCAGGCGCCAGCACCATGCAGACTTGTTGGTTCTGAGAGTTGGGCCAGTCAATACCCAGTTGTTTCAAGTTCTGCAACATTTCCAGACGAGCGCGCGTCCTCAAGCGGTTTGCCCGCATTTGGCGTGTCGATTGCCTCGCCGCACGGCAACTGACATGTTTTTGTTGTAGGCAATTCAGGTGCGCTTTGGAGCATGTTGTTTTCTTTTTAATCGAGAGAATGAGGAGGATGAGGATGAACCCGTTCCCCCCCCCGCCCCCACATCCTGAGTGGATTTCTTGTTTTCTCAGCACATCCCTGCACAGGAACTCCCCCCTCTCCGCTTACACTCATCATGTGTATCGTAATATTTTATCATCATCATCACTCGTGAACACATCATTTCCACCATCATCACAACCTTCCACGGCCGCACACTCACATCATCATCATCATCATCATCATCATCATCATCATCATCATCATCATCATCATCACCACCATCATCAGCAGCAGCATCAGCTCCAGCATCAGCACCAGCATCATTATCATCATCACCATCATCATCAGCAGCATCATCATGCATCATCATCATCACCATCACCATCACCATCACCATCACCATCACCATCATCCGTGCCCCCACGCACACCCACACATTCGCGCACTCGCGCTTTCACACGCTCACGCACTCATGCGCTCGTATCAAGGAAGTCTCGAGCGGGAGCCTCGTATGTGAGTCAGTTGCGAGGAAATCGCAGGCGGAAGCCCCCTCCCGATGGGGCTTGCACTCATGTTATGAATTCGAGGCGGCCCGCCAGGACTCCATTCCCAGTACTGACCGGAGCCAACTGCAGGCCATTTCGTGCTCTTCGAGCTTCTCTTATACTATATCTGTATGTACGTTCCTCTAGCACTCACACGCCTATAGACATATTCCTGTAGTATCTCTACAATCGGAAAAACCCGGGTCGACCCCCCCCGTTCATGAATTCCAGCCCGCGTGGTCCGGAGGCGCCAGGAAGGCCCTTGCAGGCCCCCAAATGGCTTCCAGAAAACTCCAAGCAGCTCCCGAGAGGCTGCCGCACATTTTCGAAGTGGCGCAAGAGCGTTCCACGACTTCCACAGTCGCCTGAAGACGGACCAAGGAGCCCCCAAGACGCTCCCAGAAGACTCCCAGAGGGTCCCCAGGAAGGCCTCGAGAAGCAGAGGACGCCCCAATCATGTACGAAAGCGTACATGCTTGAACCTCCCGCTTGTGCTCCTCAGCGCCGTCCGAGATGGCCCAAGAAGCCCTCAGGATCGCCCCAAGCTGGCCTAAACAGCCCACAAGACGGCCCGACGACGGCCCAAGACGGTCCCAGGACAGACCAAGATGCACCCAGGACGGCCCAGGAAAACCCTAAGAGGGAAATAGTGCTGGAAGTGCACAGTCGACAAAGGCCTCGCGCTCTCCATCCTCGTCTTTTTTCTCCTCCTGATGTGTTACCTCCTCCTCCTCCTCCTCCTCCTCCTCTTCACCTCGTCCTCTGCTTTTTGGCCCCCTCCTCCTCTGCTCCCCCCCTCCTCCTCTTCGCCATCTGCCGTGCCTCGCCCTGCCCCCGCTTCTCCCTTGACCCTTCCCGCTTCCCTTTCCGCTCCTCTTTCACTGTCTCTTTCCCCTTCTCCTCCTCCGATGCGCCACCTCGCTGCTCTCCCCGCTACTCCTCACCACCCTCTACACCTGCGAGCTCGCGCGAGCGCCATGACCCGCACGAGGCCTACGAGCCCGAGGCTGCTGCCATGCGGTGTGCACCACGGGGGCCTCCTCCTCATCGCACTCCTCCTTTCCCTCCTCCTCTTCTCCTGGGCCCCATGAGGGTCATGAGTCATATGCCCCCTGAGAGCCTCAAGAGCCGCATGAGCCCTATGGGCTCCATGATCCCATGAGCCCTACAGGCGCTGTGAGCCCTCCAACGCCCCACAAACGTATGAGCCCTATGATCCCCACAAGCTTTGCGCTTCATGCAACCCCGTGGCCCTTACGGCCATCCTGGCCCAATCGAAATTTGTTTCCAGAGATTCTAGCACGCCTCTGGCCCGTTGGGCCTTCGATTGTTATGTGGTTCCCTGATCTACTTATCCTTATACCGCTGTCTCTTTCTCGCTCTCTGTCTCTCTCTTTCTCTCGTTCGCCCCTTTCTTTCTCTACAGGTATCGGAAGCAATTAAGCAACATTCACGCGTAACAGATGGTGTGAATTCCTCCCTCCCCCCGAATGCAATGTTGGGCTCGGATCTCCCGAGTTTGAGTGTCCGACCGGTGATGCGTATACGTACCAACTTTGAATTGCGAGGGAAGGGGAGATTGTTGCTTAGCATTTTCCCCTCAACCGTATTGTTAGGTTCTCTCTCTCTCTCTCTCTCTCTTTCTGTTTCTCTCTCTCTCTCACTCTCTCGTCTCCCTTTCTCTTCTTGTTTATATGTGTATATACATGTTTTATTTGAAATAGGTGTGAGAGAGAGAGTGAGTGTGTGTGAGTGTGTGTATGTGTACGTGTCTTTCTTTATTTATTTCTTTCTCTCTCTCTCTCTCTCTCTCGCTTTTCCTCTCTCTCTCTCTCTGTCTCTCTCGCGGATCCCGCCCTCTCTGTTGCCTCCCTCATCTCTCTCTCTCTCTCTCTCTCTTGCTGCCTCGATCTCCTTCACTCCCCTAGGTTTGCCCGCCCATTCCTCTGACTTACACTCCTTCCCCTCCTCTTCCTCATTCTCCGTACTTTTCATTACTTGTCCTCTCCCCCTTTCTTTTCGCAACTGTTCATCCTCCTTCTCGTTCCTCCTCATTATCCTCCCTTCTCCTCCTCCTCCTCCTCCTGCTTCTCGTCATCCACCTCCTCCTCCTCCTCCTCCTCCTCCTCCTCCTCCTCCTCCCTCGTCTCCGTAGCTATTTTGGCTCAAGCCATTTTGGCTCAGGCCTTTCCGTAGGCCCCCTGCTCCTGGACCCTGTCCCTCGGTGCACCCTGCGACCCCAATCTTGCGGGGCAACGCGGCGGGCGTGAGGGACGGGGGGAGCAGGGCTTTTGGCTCACGGGACATGGCACGGGATGGCGCGGAGTGCGCGCCAAAGCGGCGTGCTGCAGAGGAGCGCAAGGCAGCAAGTGGGCGCGGCGTTCTGCGGACCGAGCGGTCCTGAAGCTCTCGCAGGAGGTACGGCGCCTACGCGGGCTTGTGTCCGCGGCGGAGGAGGCGCTTGACGCAGTCGCGGGGTGCAGCGAGGTGGCCCAGCGCCTGCGGGCGGTTTTGCCCCTGCTGCAGGCCAAGCTGGAGGGCCGCGCGCCCACATGGCCGGAGGTGTTGCGGCGGAATGTCGCCATGCACGCCGATGCCAGCGACATTGACGTCTCCATTGCGGGTGCCGCCGCATTGCGCAAGGCCCAGCACGGGCCACGGCTCGAGGTTCGGATCACGCAGAAGATGGAGACGCCCGAGGTCAAGGAGTCGGTCCTATCCGCCGCTGCCTAGCCTTTTGTGCCGTGCGCGTACTTCGAGTGCGACGTTAACCACGGCGCCTTCCCCGTTCAGGCCCCCTTGGGACAGTCGGCTGGGCTCCTGGACGACACTGTGGTCGTCCCTTCGGATCTCGCCGCGGGGCTTTGGGAAGTGTTCGAGCCGTTGCCGCAGGAGCAGGTCGTGGCCGATGGCTCCGAGAATTTGAGAGAGGAGCCCGTGTCGGAGCCTATGGCGTTACCTCAGGAGCAGGTCTTTCCAGCACCAACGGGTCAGGAGATGGCCCGTTCGGGTGTTGATTCTATTTAATCGCTTCGCTCATTCCGCCGGCCCATCCAGTCTCATGTCTGCCGTTTGCCCGAGGGCCTGGTGTCAATGCGGCGCTTTGGGGGTTCCTGGGGCCGCTTGGGGGACTCCTGGGGCGCTCGGGGGGGCATTTGGGGGGCCTCCTGGGGCCGCTTGGGGGACTCTTGGGGGCCTCCTGAGGGCCTCGTGGGGGCCTCTTGGGGCCTCTTAGGGGCCTCTTGGGGCCTCGTAGGGGCTTCTTAGGGCCGAGGGCTCGAAATGTTGTTTCGTGTTCCCTCTCTGGGGCCCCTTTGGGGGCGTTCTTGGGGCCCTCTTGGACCGTCTTTGGAGGGGGCCCTCTCTTGGGCCCTCTTGGGGCGATCTTGGGGGCCTCTTGGGCCGTCTTGGGGCGTCGGGAAGCCGAAAAGGTGGAAGCTCCAAAATCTCTCAAAAACCTAAGGAAAAGCAATGAATTTTGCCTCCGGGGGCCCTCTTGGGAGTGCTCTTGGAGGCCTCTTGGGGCGTCTGGGGGCTATCTTGGGCGTCTTGGAGCGATCTTGTGGCATGTCGGACCCCTCGTGTACCATCTTGGGGGCCTCTTGGGGGCCTCTTGGCCTTTCTTGGGGCTCTCGGGGACGTCTCGGAGCCCTGTTGGTGCGCTCCTGGAGCGCTCCTGGAGCGCTCTGGGGGAGTCTCCCGGGGATCGCTCGGGGGTCGGTCGGGGATCGCCCGGGGTACTTTTCGTCCGGGGACCCCCAGGGGCCGCCCCGCGCGCGCGAACTAGAGAATTGTTAACCAGTTACCAGAAATCTTAGCACGCCTCTGGCCCGTTGGGCCGGCGAATTTCTGCCATTCCAGAGCAGTTGGAGGCCCATGTTGGTTCTGATGTTGCCGCTTCTACTGCAAAGTTCGACCCCGACTTGAGTTCAGGGGTGGATAAGAGACCATCGATGAGGTCTGGTACCCCGAGGACACGGAGGACCTTGAGTCGCTCTCCGTGGTGCAGCGGCGCCTGGCTAATCTTGTGGTCGAGTCGGGGAGGCGTGCGAAGGATATCATCGACTCGCTGCACGCTGGACGGTGCCCTATCTGTTTGTCCTCGGACCTCCGCCTTCGGAGCGCACCGAGGGGCGGTGTCGCGTGCGAGCTGTGCCACGACAGCATCCAGCACCGCGGCAAGATGGTCCTTTGCGAAGGCTGCCAGGGCGCCGTTCACAGGGCGTGTTTGCAAGAGCAGCTGGACCGTTAGGTCCCCTTGGGAGTGCTGGCGGCGCACGGCGGGCTTCTCGTGCTCGCGGCGGTGGCGCTGCTCTTCCTCCTCGTGGTTCGCTAGGTTCGGGGTTCCCCTTGAAACCCCCCCCGCCTTGCGGCGGTGCCTCGGCCCAGCACTCACCGCTGGCGCGCCGTGGGGGCGGCGGCCGTCACCCTGGAGGGAGCCCAGGAGTGTTGGGACGGCCGCCGTGTGGCCGCGCTTCTCCCCGCCTTCGCCCCCCCCTGCCACGTCGACTGTGGAGCTCAGGACACTCCAGGACACTCCTCCTCCTCCTCCTCCTCCTCCTCCTCCTCCTCCTCCTCCAGGCCAGGTGTTATTTTTGATTCGCTTCGCGATTGGTCTCATCTCATCTCATCACATCCTCCTCCTCCTCCTCCTCCTCCTCCTCCTCCTCCTCCTCCTCCTCCTCCCTCGCCATTGCCAGCACCTCGGCCTTGTCCTTCTCCTCATCCTCGTCCTTTTCTTCCCCGCCCCCCCCTCCCCCTCATCCTCCCACGGTGACGTCGGCAACGACCACGACCACGGCCCCACGACGACGAAGGCGAGGACGAGCACGACGACGACGACCACGACGACGAAGATGCGCACGACGACGAGGACGAACACGAAGACGACGACGACGACGACCACCACGCCCATGACCACCACGACCATGACCACCACGACGAAGACGCGCCTGACGACGACGACGACGACGTTGACGACGACGGCGACGACGACGACGACGACCACGACCACGACCACGACCACAACCACGACCACGACAATGACCACGACCACCACGACCACGACGACGACGACGACGACGACAACGACGACGACGACGACGACGACGACGACGACGACGACGACGACGACGACGACGACGACGACGGCGCCTTCTGGAGCCCGGCCGGCGGCGCCGAGAGGCTCTGCCGCCGCCGCCGCGGAGGCCCTCGGGGCCCTGGCCTGCCAGGCCGCCGCGCAGAGGCGCCCGTCGTCGCCGCCGCGGCCCCCGAGCACGCGCCAGGGCTCGCTTCGATTCCTCCGATTCGATTCGATTCGGTTTCGACGGATTCCGATTCCGATTCCGATTCGGTTCCGGGTTCCGAGCTGGATTCCGATTTCCCGGTGGAGGCCTATTGGCATGCCGATGTCTGCCGATTCGACTTTTCTCGCCGCGGCCCTTGAGCTCGCGCAGCCTGGGCCTCCAAAGTTCTAGGCCTCCTGGATGGGGTCGGAGTAGGGTCGGGGGATCTCGCCGCATCGCCGATGCATCGGCGATGCGGCTCGATGTGGAGCCCGCTTTTCTCCACGCCAATGTCGCCGGTGCATCGCCGACGTCGCCGATGCATCGCCGATGCGGGTCGATCCTCCGACCCCATCTGCTCCAACCCCATCCAGGAGGCCTCCAAAGTGGAGAAGAATCGCAGAAGTTCGGGGGAGGCAAAGAGAAGGGTGATGACTAGGGGGGGATGGATATCATGGCGGGGGCCATGATATCTCCCCAGGTTTCATGGCGCCTCTTTTTTCAATACGTCCCTGCCCCCCCCCCCCTGGGCCGCGCACATGCCGCCGGCCATGATTTGCGCCCCCCCGCTTGAACGCCCCCCTCTTGGACGCCCCCGAGAAGTGTCCGGTCGTCTTGGATTGACTCGATGTTTCTTTCATTGTATGCTTCCCAACCATCCTGTGGTGTTGGGTCCTCGTTTTGACGAGACAGTGGCCCGCGTCCCTCCTGCCTCCTCCTCCTCCTCCTCCTCCTCCCGCTCCCTCCTCCCTCCTCCCGTCAGTACCTCTGCCCTCCGCATGTCCACCGTTTCGGCGCACCCCTCGCACGTTTCGTGGCCAGACAGGGGATCTATGTTCCTCCGTATTGTACGTTTACTACCAGGTGGGGTGCACTTTGCACCCTCCCCTCCTCAAAGTACCCCCCCCTGGATCTCTGCCCCTGGGCCTTCAGGGGTGTCCCCGCGCAGACGTGCACACTGGTCAGCGGTGGCCCGACGAGGCCTCCCAAAGCGGTGTAAGGGGGCTCTGAGACGGCCAAGATGGCCCAAGAGTCCCCCAGAACGACCCAAGAGAGCTCCACACGCTCCTCCTCCTCCTCCTCCTCCTCCTCCTCCTCCTCCTCCTCCTCCTCCTCCTCCTCCTTGACCCGCGTGAGGCGCCAGAGCCTGCTGCTGCTGCTCCGGGCCGTGCCAGGCGCCCCCCCTTCCCCGCGCGGCGGGCCAGCGCGGCGGGCCGGCGCCTCATCCGCCAGCGGCTCGCGCGGGGGGTGGGGGTGGAGGTTGCTCCTCATCCCTCCTCGTCTTCCTCCTCTTGCTCCTCCTCCTCCTCCTCCTCCTCTTCCTCCTCCTACTCCATTTCCTGCTCCTCTTCCATTTCCTCCTCCTGCTCCTCCTCCTCCTCCTCCTCCTCCTCCTCCTCCTCTTCGTCCTCCTCCTCCTCCTCCTCGTCCTTCCCGTCCTCGTCTTCGTCCTGGAGCGATCATAGGGGGCATGATCCTTCAATGAACGAAGGGGCCCCATCAAAAGTTGAAGCAGAGGACGGCCATCATGATGCACTGACCTCAGCTCCAGCCCGCGCGAATGGCAGCGCCGAGCTCCTCCTGCGCCGTCTGCGCGGCCGCGTGCGCCTCCACGCCCTGCATGAATGCCGCCTCCTCGTCGAGCCCCGCGTGGCGCCGCCAACGCCCTGCGCGGGCCGCCGCCGCGCCCCCGGGCAGGGCAGCCATCCCCTCTCAGGGGCCCTGGTGGGCTGCTGCCGCGGCCGTCGGCAGGGCGGCCATCCCCCTCAGGGGCCCGCAGCTTCCGGCGTCGCGGGCACCACAGCATCAGGTCCTTTGTCCCGCCCAGCCCTTCCGCGGGCACGGCGCTGCACCCCGTGGAGCTGCTGGAGGGTGAGGCCAACCAGCTGGGCCATGGGCACGTCAAACACGTGCACGGCCACGTTCCGCATGCTCGCCTCGAGCCGCGAGTGCACAGCAGTGTCACCGCGGCGTCTGGCAGCCACTGCCTCCTCCAGGTAGGGCACGATGGCGTCCACCCTGCGCTGGCCCTCGGGATCTTCACCCATGCGGACCTACAGCTACAGACCAAGGACGCGCTGCTCTAACACGGTCTTCGACTCCATGAGCTTCTTCACGAGGGTCTCGGCCGACTCCGCGGCCCGCACGCGCCGCTGCCGCTTCGCTGCCGCGCTGTCAACTGCTTCTCGCCACGCTCCAGGGGTGAGTCCCGCAGCCATCCCAAGCGAACACCCAGCAGCTGGCACCATGAGCTGAGCACATAGAGCGAAGACGTTGGGGTGAAGCGGCTTGAGCCAGAATGTCTTCGACGTCCTCGTCCTCGTCTTCCTCCTCCTCCTTCTCCCTCATTCGTCCCCCTCCTTCTCCTCCGCCTTCTCCTCCTCTTCTTCCATTCTTTTTTCCTTTTACGTAACTCCTCCTTCTGGCACACCCGAGGCCAGTCGACAGGGCCGGCCGTGCGTTTCGTCCGAGGTTTCCTACATATCTATGATCTTGAAGTTGAGACTGTAAACCAGTTTCGCGGATGGAAAGCGGGTCGTTTTTAAGATGTAGTTTTCGCCTCAGCGCCGCGCACATCCCTTGTAGAAAGTTGCAAGACTCTAGCGGATGGAGACCAGGTGGTTTTCGAAATGTGGTTCTCGCTTTCGCGCCGCGCATACACGCCATCACAGTTCACACGAGTTG